TTGATTATCTGCTGCTGTGGAATGCAACAGGTGCATCTGTGATTGGTCTCATGTGGTTGTTTTTAATTAATGGCCAATCACAGTCAGCTGGCTCGGACAGAGAGTCTGAGACTGAGCTTTTGTTATTCATTCTTTCCTATTCTATTCTTAGCCAGCCTTCTCAGGAAATCCTTTCTTCTATTCTTTTACTATAGTTGTAATGTAATATATATCATAAAATAATAAATCAGCCTTCTGAAACATAGAATCAAATCCTCATCTCTTCCCTCATCCTGGGACCCTTGTGAACACCGTCACATTCCTGGCTCCAGGAATGAGCCTGGGATGGATTTTGTGGTTCAGCCCCAGCAGAGAGCAGGAGCAGCTCAGCCTGGCTCTGGGTGAGCCCGTCTGGTGGAGCAGTGATTTCCACCTGGGTGATTTCCAGATTGGAGCAGGGCTTGGAAAAGGAGTGTCCCAGCTGGCCCCAGCCCTGCTGCACTGCAGGGACACCACAGGGACACCACAGGGATACCCCAGTGCTCCCTGGCATGCAGAGGAAGGAGCCAGATGTGCCCACAGGGGTGCCCAGCAGGGCTTTCCTGGCACCACCACCCACTCACAGGAAAAGCAGCCAGGATTCCTTCACATTCAGCAGAACCACAGCAAAGGGAGAAGGGAAAGAGCCCGAGGAGCTGGGGGGCCTGGCTGCTGCAGCTGTGCTGGTGCTGCACACAGGGAGGAGCTGTGGGTGTGAGGGTGGCAGTGAGAGGGGCACAGAGCAGGTACAGGCACTGCCAGCTCCAAAATCTCCCTGCTCCTGGAGCTTTGGGCCATCTCCACATCTGGATGGAGAGAAGGTGGCCCAGGTGTGATGGTGGCAGGAGGGAACCTGACACATTTCCTTCCCCAGCTCTCTCTGCAAGTGCAGCACGGTTTCCTTTATCAGGTTTGGTTTCTCTTATCTCCGCAGCCCCTGTGTGCCAGCCCAAGGCTGTGCTGGGGGTGCTTTCCACTGTGGGTGACAAGGACACCTCAGAGCTGGCCCAGAAACGTGTCAGGGCCACGTGGGTGCAGCAGGATGCTGTGGCTTGCACACAAACACAGAGGGCCCCACTGCTGCAGCCTGGGAGGAAATGGTGAGGGCTGGAGCTGTGCTCAGCTCCTGGGGCAGCCTGGGGGGGTGTGGGGGCATGGCAGGGCCCTGTGCCCACTGGGGGCTGCAGGTCTTGTCACGGTGTCACAGAATCACCTGAGGGTACCCTGAGCTGGAAGGGACCCACCAGGATCACCAAAGTCCAGCTCTGATCCTGCACTGGGCCCCCAAGTTGAAACTAATTCATTAAGGCAGATAAAACCCAAAATCTGAAATGTCCCCAGAGCCAGCCTGGACAATCCCAGCCCCTGCAGCCTCCCACCATGTGAGAGAAGGTGGAGCAGATGGGATGGGTGGCAACCTGACAGCTTTTTCTTCCCCAGCTCTCTCTCCATGTGCTCCAACCCTCCCATCTCCCCCTCCTGCCCACACAGCGATCCCACAAATGATGGGCAGAGGGGTCTGAACCCTTTCCATGACCTCCTGGAGGCTCTTAATGAGATCCCTTGATTGCTGCAGGGCTGCACTGCACATCCAGCACAGCATTTCCCCATAACCCCATGTGTGTTCACAGATATTCAGAACACCAACAGGGAACAAATCCCCCCACACAGGGATGGCTTTTGCTTTCCACCCCCTGGCCCTTCCTGCCTGCCAGGGAAGGTTTGTGTGCACTGCCCTCGGGTGAGTAAGAGCCAAACCCTGCTGGGGCCAGCAGCTGTCCCACCCTTGGCCACTGGGCACTGTTTGGTGACATTATCTCTCCAGATAAGCTTTGTATGTGTGGTTTTGCTCTTTGCTTTAGCCATGTAGAAAGCTCCAGACATGCCCAAGAGGCAGGAGCTGTCCTGCCCAGAGTGGCAGCAGTGAGCTGGGGCTCGGTGCCACCTTGGGGGTACCTGGGCAGGAGAGGCTGCTTCTGGTTTGTCAGAGGCTGCTCCTTGGTTTTTGTCACCCAAAATGCCTCCAGATCCTGCTGTGGTGAGCACAGGATCAAGATGAGCCATGGGGGAAATCGAGGTGACCAGCAAAGCCCTTTAACTTGAGTGGAATTTCTCTTATTAAATTAAATTTAATGTTTATTAGTACCTGGGCAAAAGAGGCTGCTCCTGGTCTGCCAGACCCAAAATGCCTCCAGATCCAGCTGTGGTGAGCACAGGATTAAGATGATCCATGGGAAAAATCGAGGTGACCACCATTTACCTTGAGTGGACTTTCTCTTATTAATTTAAATTTAATGTTTATTAGTACCTGGGCAGGAGAGGCTGCTCCTGGTTTGTCAGAGGCTGCTCCTTGGTTTTTGTCACCCAAAATGCCTCCAGATCCTGCTGTGGTGAGCACAGGATCAAGATGAGCCATGGGAAAAATCGAGGTGACCACCATCAACTTGAGTGGATTTTCTCTTATGAATTTCAGTTTAATGTTGCCTGTTGCAAAGGCTTTTTGGAAAGGAAAGGTTTTGTGGTGTCTGCATGCAGACCTCAGTGTTTTTGTTTTGTTTCGCATGTTTTATTGAAACCGTCACAAAGGTTTTCACCGGTAGTGACAGCAAGTTCCTTTCTATTTCAGCCCAAATCTGTTCTGTGTGTGCAGGCGGAGCATCCCCTGGAGCTGGGATTGAGTGAGCCCAGGGGGTTCTGAGCCCCTTGGCTGGGGCTGATTTGGGGCTGTGGTTGCTGCTCTGTTGTGTGGCTCAGATAACTCAGAAATGGAGCTAAATGTGACTTTTGGGGTGGTTGTATGGACTGGAAGCCAAAACATGGATGGTGAATTTGTAGGAGCTTTGATGTGGCACAGGAACCCTGTGTCCCCCCAGCTGCTGGGCTGAGGAAGTGCCTGGATTTCCTGGGACAGTGATTTCCTCTGCACTAAAATCCTGGAAGTCCCTGGGTTTGTTGTGCACAGGAAACCATTAGGAACAGGATGTTTGCTGCCTGCACACCCACAGGGCCCCGAGCAGCATCAGGAGGAGGAGCTGTGGGTGCTCCCAGCCCTCACACAGCTGCTGCTGTCACCTCCATGGCAGAGCCCTCTCCAGGCTGGCCCTGCTCCTGAAGGAAGTGTGGACAATCTGGGACATTGCCAGCTCTGTTTGTTTAAATCGCATTTTGGGGGCTGAAACCAGCTCGTTATTTTTTTAGCTGCTCTGGCCACACTCAGAATTATTCTTTGGCATCTCTGCCCTTGTTGAAAATGCCCATTTGGGAGTTGAAAATGCACATTGGGAAGTTGAAAATGCACATTGGGAAGTTGAAAATGCCCATTTGGGAGTTGAAAATGCACATTTGGAAGTTGAAAAAGCACATTTGGGAGTTTCCCAGTGCCCAGCTGCATTCTGCTGTGCCTGGATGCTCACACAGGGTCACGCTGCTCCAGAGGGACTGGTGCTGCTCATTTCCTCACTGCCAGCTGCAAACCTGGCTGGAATTTTGTGAGGTTTGCTCTGAGCAGCCCAGGAAGGGCTGGTGGCCACTGCTGGTTTATCGTGCTCTGATGAATGTGGTGAGGAACACCACAAAAGCAATGGGTGGGAATGCTGCTCCTGGGGCTGTTTGGGGTGGCACTGGGGCGCAGGGCAGCTCTGTGCCTGGGGACAATTCCTGCCTTTCCATGTGCTCAGGAAGCTGCTGGTGCTCTGGTTCAAGGCATTAAACAACAACCAAGTGTTGGTATGTCCTATTGATGCTCTGCTGGCCCCGTCCCTCCTGCCAGGCTTCACCTGCATGGGTGGGCATTGGTTCTCCTGCTCTGGGAATGGTTCAGCTGTCTTATTCCCAAATATTTCTCCCCACCTGCCTGTTTCAGCCCTGGCCCTGGTTATTCTCCTCCAGTGGTGCCTCTGTCACCCCTGGCCAGGTTTGTCCCCTCAGTTTGTCCCTCTCTGGCTCCTTGGATCTGTGCTGATGGCCCAGAGCAGTTCCAGCTGTGCTGCAGCCCAGTGCTGCTCCTGCTCCCCATTCTCCCCGAAGGTGATAACTGCCCTTCCCTTGCCCATGCAGGGGATCTCAGGGGTGGGATGTGGCTCTCCTGGAGCTGCAGGATCAACCCATGAGAAATGGAGCCTGAACCTTCTCCCCTGAGCTCCTGGGCCAGCGCTTGGAGCTGCTCTGAGAGATGTGACCCCTGTGGATGGGTTTCGAGAGCTGAGCTGTAAACACTGCTCAGGGCTGTCCTCAGAGTCACCTCTGGCATTTCAGCACTCTGTGTCACCTCCACGAGGAGCAGAGCTGCTTGGAGAGGTGAAGCACCTCTTGTAATCCCTGGCTGCTTGAAATTGTAATCAGTTGGTCTGAGCAGCCCCAGAGGGGAGCAAGGAATGGCTGAGCCTGTGCAGAGCTCAGGGGAGGGGATCTGCATCCCTGAGGTGCTGGGGACAACTCATGGCACGCAGATGTGTGGGACTGGCAGGGCTCTGCACATCCCTGGGGAAAAGGCAGCATCTGGGGAATGTGCTCTCCCTGTTTACTGACACGCTTTCCCCTCAAACTGCTCCAAATCAGAGAGCAACGAACTACTGAGCAATGTGGGGAAATAAAAACAGCTAAAACCCCTTCCCTACAGACACCAGAGCCCTCCCCATCCCTCCCTTGGCAGGGAAAGCCCTTTCTGAAGCCTCTGAGCCACGTCAGCTCGCAGCTATGACAGTCATCCCACCCTGCTGGCAGCGCTGCTCCCCGAGCCAGGGAGGGATGGGAACGGGGCAGCCCCAAACCCTGAGCCTGTGCTGGGGTGGGCACCGGGTATGGGGTGCTGGGGGTGCCTGGGGTGGCACCTCACCCCAGGGCTGGGAGCTCCTCACAGTGCCCAAGGGGAGCTCTCACAGCTGGGCAGGGAATCAGGGAATCCAACCCAGCTCTGCTCCTCTCCCCTCCCCTTGCCCAGTGGGGCCCACCCTGGCTTTAACCCTCTCTTTGCCCCCCCCCAGATCATGATCGAGTTCTGCCCGGGCGGGGCCGTGGATGCCACCATGCTGGGTGAGTGCAGCTGTGCCCAATATATAATATAATATAATATAATATAATATAATATAATATAAT